GATGGTGATGATGGTGGTGATGATGGTGATGACGATGGCGATGATGATGATGAAGATGGTGATGATGCTGCTGCTGCTGCTGTTGATGCTTATGATGGTGTTGATGAAGATGATGATGGTGATGATGGTAATGATGATAATGGTGATGATGATGATGATGATGACGGTGATGATGGAGATGATGATGGTGATGGTGATGGTGATGATGCTGCTGCTGCTGTTGCTGCTTATGATGGTGTTGATGATGAAGATGATGATGGTGATGATGGTGATGGTGATGGTGGTGATGATGATGGCGATAGTGATGGTCAAGGTGACGGTGATGACGATGGTGATGATGATGGTGATGATGGTGGTGATGATGGTGATGACGATGGCGATGATGATGATGAAGATGGTGATGATGCTGCTGCTGCTGCTGTTGATGCTTATGATGGTGTTGATGAAGATGATGATGGTGATGATGGTAATGATGATAATGGTGATGATGATGATGTTGGTGGTGATGGTGGTGATGATGGTGGAGATGGTGATGATGCTGCTGCTGTTGCTGCTTATGATGGTGTTGATGATGAAGATGATGATGGTGATGGTGGTGATGATGATGGTGATGGTGGTGATGATGATGGTGATAGTGATGGTCAAGATGACGGTGATGATGATGGTGATGATGATGGTGATGATGGTGTTGATGGTGGTGATGATGATGGTGATAGTGATGGTCAAGGTGACGGTGATGATGACGATGGTGATGATGGTGGTGATGATGGTGATGACGATGGCGATGATGATGATGAAGATGGTGATGATGATGCTGCTGCTGCTGATGGTGGTGGTGATGATGATGGTGGTGATGATGATGATGACGATGATGATGATGAAGCTGGAATGTTTGATCCTGTGGGATCTCATCAAGCTCAGGTTTCCCTTTTTTTGCCCTGAGACACCGAGGGCAGAATTAATGATGAAGGCTTTGAACAGGGCCAGAGCTCCAGCCTGGCTCTCAGGATTCCACAGGATGCCACAATTCCTTAAATCCCAGACTTTTCCAAACTTTGCTCCAAGGTGAGGATTAAAAGAAGGAACTTTTTATGTCGGTCCCACCTGTTTTTATAAAGGAACCTAAAATCCTGTGGGGACCTTGCCGATATTCCAGGATTTATTTTGTTTAGGGAATAAAATCCACAAAAAATCCGTTTTTTTTGGTCACCTGCCAATGCCAGGGGTTTTTGTGTTTGTTTTGCAGGGACAGGGACACTAAAGATAGACTTTGTAGGGGAGCTGAACGACAAAATGAAAGGATTTTACCGGAGTAAATACAGCACGCCCAGCGGAGACACGCGCTACGCTGCGGTCACCCAGTTCGAGGTTTGGCTCTGATTCCAGTCTCATCTTGATTTTAATTTGATTTTAATTTAATTCTAATTTAATTTTAATTTTATTTTAATTTAATTGAATTTTATTTTAATTTATTTATTTTATTTTAATTAAAATTTTTATTTAATTTTCATTTAATTGTAATTTAAATTTAATTTAAATTTAATTTTCATTTACTTTTCATTTAATTTTCATTTAGTTTCCATTTAATTTCCATTTAATTTTCATTTAAATTTAATTTTTATTTTTATTTTATTTTTATTTTATTTTTATCTTTACTTTTATTTTTATTTTATTTTTATCTTTATCTTTACTTTTATTTTTTATTTTATTTTAATTTTTATTTTATTTTTATTTTATATTTATTTTTATTTTATTTTTATTTCTATCTTTACTTTTATTTTATATTTATTTTTATTTTATTTTCATTTTTATTTTATATTTATTTTATTTTTATTTTAATTTTATTTTAATTTTATTTTATATTTGCTTATTTTTTATATTAATTTTTATATTAATTTTTATATTAATTTTTATTTTAAATCTTATTTTATTTTTAATTTTAATATTATTTTTAATTTTTTAACACTTTTCCTTACCGCCCTTTCCCTCACCACCCCAAGATCAGTAAAATCCTGGATCTGGGAAATTCCTCCAACAGCTGCAACATTCAAAAACATCTCCTTATTTAAATAAAACTCCCCTTGAAAAAGTACATTAATTTTATTTTTAAAAAAAAAAATAAATATTTTTTTAAATTTAAAGTTTTAATTTAAAGTTTTAATTTAAAATTTTAATTAAAAAATTTAATTTAAAAATTTTTAATTTAAAGTTTTAATTTAAAATTTTAATTAAAAAATTTAATTTAAAAAGTTTTAATTTAAAGTTTTAATTTAAAATTTTAATTAAAAAAATTAATTTAAAAAGTTTTAATTTAAAGTTTGAATTTAAATTTTTAATTTAACTTTTTAATTTAAATTTTTATTTTTAAAAGAAATGTGTAATTAAAAAATGTTTAATTAAAAAACTGTACGTTTTTAATAGGACACTGTGCCTTTATCTGGGTATTTAACACCATCCCTGGACAAAACCAGGGAATTTTGCTTTCCATGGTTTCCATAATCCCCAGGGTGCTCCCCCAGCATTTTTGGGGTTCTCTTTGACAAATTTGGGGTGATTTGTGCTCACCTGCCCTACCCCTGCCAAATCCAGACAATCCCAACAGAGCTCTGAGACCTCTTTTCATTTAAAACCAAGAACAAAATGAGAATAAAACCCAAATTCCAAGCTCAGGAATGCAGTGAAGTGACCAAACCACCATTCTTCCCTATTTTTTACTGGAAATAAATTGAATTTCTGTGATTTATTTATTGAATTCTCTTTATTCCAGGCTACTGATGCTCGCAGAGCTTTCCCTTGCTGGGACGAGCCTGCGATTAAAGCAACATTTGATATTTCTTTGGTGGTTCCCAAAGACAGAGTAGCTTTGTCAAATATGGTAAGTTTTCATGTGCCAATCAATATTTTAATTAAAGTTGCGATTATGCCGTTGGTAATTAATAATTTGCCTTGATGATAAATGCAATAAATGGAAGGAGAAAGCTTTGGGGCTGTTTAAATCAGATTTTCGCTCCCATTTTGGCTGATTGGAGGTTCTGATACAAAATTGAGATTTGCGGTTGTGATTTAAAAGTTTTGATTTGAAATTCCGTGGGGCGGGAGGAGCGAGATCCATAAAGAAATTCCACAAAAAAACCCAACAATTTTGGGTGAAAAAAAGAACAATCTTGGGTGAAAAAAACCCCAATTTGGGGTGAAAAAAATCCAATTTAGGGTGAAAAAAATCCAATTTTGGATGAAAAAACCCCAATTTTGTATGAAAAAAACCCCAATTTTGGGTGAAAAAACCCCCAATTTTGTATGAAAAACCCCTAATTTTGGGTGAAAAAACCCCTAATTTTGGGTGAAAAAACCCCTAATTTTGGGTGAAAAAAAACCCAGTTTGGGGTAAAAAAATCCCAATTTGGGGTGAAAAAATCCAATTTTGGATGAAAAAAACCCAAGTTTGGGTGAAAAAACCCTCAATTTTGGGTGAGAAAACCCAATTTGGGTTGAAAAAAACCCAATTTGGAGTGAAAAAAATCCCACTTCTGGGTGAAAAAAAACACCCCCAATTTTGGATGAAAAACCCCCAATTTTGGGTGAAAAAACCCCGAATTTTGGATGAAAAAAATCCCCAATTTGGGGTGAAAAACCCCCAATTTTGGGTGAAAAAAACCCAATTTGGGGTGAATAAAACCCAATTTGGGGTGAAAAAAATCCAATTTTGGATGAAAAAACCCCCAATTTTGGATGAAAACCCCCTAATTTTGGATGAAAAAACCCCGAATTTTGGATGAAAAAAACCCCCAATTTGGGGTGAAAAAAAACCCAATTTGGGGTGAAAAAAATTCAATTTTGGGTGAAAAAAATTCAATTTTGGGTGAAAAAAAGCCCAATTTGGGGTGAAAAAAATTCAATTTTGGGTGAAAAAAACCCCGAATTTTGGATGAAAAAAAACCCAATTTGGGGTGAAAAAACCCCCAATTTGGGGTGGAAAAAAACAATTTTGGGTGACAAAAAACCCAATATGGGGTGAAAAAAATCCCAATTTTGGATGAAAAATCCCCTTATTTGGGGTGAAAAAACCCTTAATTTTGTGTGGAAAAACCCCCAATTTTGTGTGAAAAAAACCTCAATTTTGGGTGAAAACAACCCCCAATTTTTGGTGAAAAACCCCCCGATTTGGGATGAAAAAGACCCAAAATTGGGGGTGAAAAACCCCCAATTTTAGACCCCTAAATTTTGCATCCTGTGTCCCCAGAACGTGGTGGAGCGGCGGCCGTACCCCGACGACGAGAGCCTGGTGGAGGTGAAGTTCGCGCGGTCGCCGGTCATGTCCACGTACCTGGTGGCCTTCGTGGTGGGCGAGTACGACTTCGTGGAGGCGCGGTCGCAGGACGGCGTCCTGGTGCGGGTCTACACCCCCGTGGGCAAGGCTGAGCAGGGCAGGTTCGCCCTGGAGGTAAATCTGGATCAGCTTTGAGATTTTTTGGGTTTTTTTGGGGTTTTTGGGGGTTTTTTGGGGTTTTTTGGGGGTTTTTGATGGATTGTAGATGTGTATGGCGTCCTGGTGCGGGTCTACACCCCCATGGGCAAGGCTGAGTAGGGCAGATTGTCCAAATTTCTTTGTTTCAATCCTAATTTTCTAGTTTCAGTCCTGAATTGTTAATTTTAATCAATATTTCTTAAGTTCAGTTATAATTCTTTAGTCTCTGTCATAATTCCTTAGTCTCAGGCCTAATTTCCTTGTTTCAATCCTTATTTCTTAATTTCAATCCTAAATTCTTAGTTTCATTCCTAATTCCTAGTTCCAGTCCTGATTTTCCAATTTCAGCCATAATTCCTTAGTCTCAGTCATGATTTATTTATTTCAGCCCTAATTTCTAAATTTCAGCCCTAATTTCCCAATTTCAGCCCTAATTTCTTAATTTCAGCCCTAATTTCTCAATTTCAGCCCTAATTTCTTAATTTCAGCCCTAATTTCTAAATTTCAACCCTAATTTCTCAATTTCAGCCCTAATTTCTTAATTTCAGCCCTAATTTCTCAATTTCAGCCCTAATTTCTAAATTTCAGCCCAAATTTCTAAATTTCAGCCCTAATTTCTTAATTTCAGCCCTAATTTCTCAATTTCAGCCCTAATTTCCCAGTTTCAGCCCTAATTTCCCAATTTCAGCCATCAATTCTTACATTTGATCATAATTTCCTATTTCCATTTCCCAATTCCAATCGTAATTTTATTTGTTTCAGTCAGAATTCCTTAGTTTCAATCCTGATTTCTTAATTTCAGTCACAGTTTCCCAAGCCTTGCCCTTTTCCAGGTTAACAGAACATTTCTCCTCTCGTTTCAGGTTGCTGCTAAAACTCTGCCTTTTTATAAGGATTACTTCAACGTTCCTTACCCTCTTCCTAAAATTGATCTCATAGCTATTGCAGACTTTGCTGCTGGTAAAGTAACTCATTTTATTGCTGAAATTGTATTTTTTTTTATTAAAAAAAAATATAATAAAATTAAAAAAAAAACAAAAACCTTTGGGAAGAAGTGTGGATCAATATCAATTAAACCTTTGTATTTATTTTATAAAGGTGCCATGGAGAACTGGGGCCTTGTTACTTATAGGTATGATGTTAAAATACTGTCTTTCCCCTTCTTTGTTCACTAATTCTTGGAGTTAATTGGATTCATTTGAGGCAGCTCTAATTGCTGGGTGTCATCCCAAACCAGACAGAGCCAATATTTTCCATTTTTATTTTGGTTTTTTTGGATGATTTTGGTGGTGATTTTCAGGAATTCAATAAATCAGCCACTGGCTGAGGGGTTTTAAGTTGACAAAACCTTCTTGGCCCCTTTTTTCCTCATCCCCATAAAATTTCCTGACACAGCTGGGAGAGTTTTATTTTACCTCACAGGTAAATTTGGCAGAGTAAAGGTGTGGAGATGGGAAAATCAAAAATATTAACTCACCTTCCTTTGCAGTTTGATTTTTTTTTGTTGTTGTTTTTCCTCCTTCTTCTGATCAAGTTTTGGATTTTTGCTTGATATTAATTCATTTTCTGTGCTGGTGGTCAGGAGGATTTCCCTGAATTTTGAACAGCTTTGGGTTTTAAATCCTGAAACAATTTGGGATTTTTTTCTGCTCAGCTTTGAACTGAGCCTTAAAAAAACCAAAACAAGTTTCAACTTTTTCCCTGCTTATTGAAATTCTGTTGAAACCTGATATTTTATTCCTCCTGAGGAAAAAAAAAAATGAATATTTTTATCCTGGATGAGGAGAATTTTTGGGATGGAGCTGTGAATTTTTGCCTCTTTGTGCTGAATTTGCTCTGCCCCTTTTGGGCACCTGCAGGCACCATCCTTAGGGAGGTTTTTTCCCTGGAATTGCAGCATTCCAGAGGTTCCTGAGCAGGGCTGGGAGGTGCCAAAGTGGAAAAATCGGTGTTGACACCTCTTGGAAGAGCCAGAATTCCTTTGGGAACGCTGAGGGAGTTTGGTACCCAGAGCACAGAGGGGAGCTGAGCTTCCAAAAATTACCTAGGGGAGCATTTTTTATAAATAATAAAATAAATTTTCCTCCTTCTGCTTGGGTTTTTTTATTCCCACTTCTCACATGCCATAAAATAATTCCTGCTCCAAAGCATTCCAGCAGCCCTGAGAATTTCATGGCTACATCGAAATAGATTTTGGGTTGGGGTTTTTTGGGGGGGGTTTAGGGTTTTTATTCCTCACTTTTTAGCTTGCTTAGGTGTAATTTCACCTCCTTTGGGTTGTGGTGTATTTTTTTTATCCCCCTTGGGGTTGTTCCCCACCCTGCTGAGTTGTGTTTTTCTCTCCAAAACAGGGAGACTGCGTTGCTCATCGACCCCAAAAATTCCTGCTCCTCGTCCCGCCAGTGGGTGGCTCTGGTGGTGGGACACGAACTGGCTCACCAGTGGTTTGGAAACCTCGTCACCATGGTACTAAACCCTCCAAAATCCCATTTTTTATTCAAATCTCCTTCCTCTCCTACCCAAAATCTGTGTTTGGGTACCCCTAAACAGCAGCACGCTGTGATAACGTAATTATTTTAATATTTAAATGGTGGTTTATGGTACCTAAACCCTCCAAAATCCCATTTTCTATTCAAATCTCCTTCCTCTCCTACCCAAAATCTGTATTTGGGTGCCCCTAAACAGCAGCAATAATAATTTATTATTATAAATAATAATTGTTTATTAAAATAATTAAAATATAATTATTTTAATATTTAAATGGTGGTTTATGGTACCTAAACCCTCCAAAATCCCATTTTCTATTCAAATCTCCTTCCTCTCCTACCCAAAATCTGTATTTGGGTGCCCCTAAACAGCAGCAATAATAATTTATTATTATAAATAATAATTCTTTATTAAAATAATTAAAATATAATTATTTTCATATTTAAATGGTGGTTTATGGTATATAAACCCTCCAAAATCACATTTTTTATTGAAATCTGCTTCCTCTCCTACCCAAAATCTGTATTTGGGTGGCCCTAAACAGCAGCACGCTGTGTTAAAATAATTAATGTTTAAATGCTGGTTTAAAGTCAGGTTTTGGAGCCCCAAAACTTCCTTGGTCTGACTTTTGAGCCATTAAAATTAGGAGTGACTGGAGAAAAATAAAATTAAATATTCATTTTAACCTGAAAAATTACATTGATACAATTCTATATCTATATTTCAATATAGTATATAAAATATTATATATATAATATATGTTATTATAGACTGTGTATAAT